GAACGCGGAGGCCGATTGTGCCTCTTTGTCGCTCGTTCCGCGCTCTCGCTTGCACTTCAAGCCTTAAATGGAACGCCTCAGAGCGAGGTAACGCCGCATGAGTCATGTTTTTTCGTGCGTGCAGCCGGCTCCATCGAATTATAAAACGTTGTCACGTCAATAATACTATATATATGAAACATTTTAACATTTAGTAGTGGTTAATATCAAATATTAATGTGAAAATTCGTTTTCAATTTTTTAGTCACTATAAACCACTTCAGGTTAATGAGGGAAAATTTATTGCTGTTCTCATCTCTCGTAGCTTAATGGTCAGAGCATTGGTGCGTAAAGTCAAAGCTTTCGGGTTCGATTCCCTGAGAATGTGTGACAACAGCAACAGGTTTTTGCTCATTAATCGGAGGTAGTTTATAGTGGGCAAAAAACTGAAAAAGAATTTTCACATTAAAATTTGTTTATGTTAATTTTGCTCGTTTTTATTGTACGTCTACTCTGTCCAACATAAATAGCGCCGAAAAGCAAAAGGAGTAGGTACTTTATTGCGGGGAAAAAGTAACTTGTAAATTCGACCTTCTGTTATCATTTTTATCATCATTCATATACGGATTTTTCAAGAACTGTCCTCACAAATATAACAAACATGAAATATGACAAAGAAGCATAGTTACATTTTTTGGCATTCACACATTGTTTGTTTATATTACTGATCAACTGTCCTTATACTAACTAACTCCGGCTATCATCCGGAAGTTATCGAAATCTCCGGAACAGTGTTCCTTCCTTCTTCTCGAGAATTCTAGAAGTCATATTGTTAAACAGGTAAATATGCCTCATTTCACGCCTTTGGTACAGAGATTTCCTTCCATCGACTGGTCCCTGCCTACTGGTATACTCAACATCCGTCGGGTAGCAATGTATTGTTTTACACGTATACGCTTGTATAGTCGCTTCAGTTTAATTTTTGCAAGTTTCGGATTATAAAGTCAAAATTGCAAATCTTTTACTTTATTATTTATTACTGGAACAGTAAATCTACTAACCCGTACACTTACAGCAAGAAAGAAAAAGATACCTATACCTTCATCTTTCTTGGCTAGTCGCAGGTAACGAACACTGCTGGTGTATTTGTGCATCTTTCTCTCTATTTAAACAGTTTGTAGTTTGTCTCTATTTTATTTGTTTCATGAATCATAGGTGATCCTATCAGGGCCGAACTGAGCTGACGCTGTACTTGCACCTACGTTTTTCTCGAAAACGGTGGACTTTCGAACCATCAATCATCTACTTAATTTTCTTGTTTTTTAGTAACCTATCACTTCCTGCAAACTTGCTACTTATTTCAGAAACACCCTGTATAAATACTTTAAAGGTGCAAAAAACCTACTTTATTATCAGTTCTTAAAATCGTGTTGAAACCTGTCTTTTTTACATCCCAAAGATGGAGGAATTTTTCGCTAGTTCAATTTGACATTTGCTAGTCAGAGTCCGAGAGATCCTTGAGCTTGGGGGCCCTAGTGTACTGCACCGTGTAGCCCTCCAGTATGTACGTCACAGGTTAATAGAGCATCTTACAAAAGAACAATAACGACTCTCCGCAAATTAGCTAAGTGGACAGATGTTTTGTGGATAATGTACGGAGAAATTTAAGCCCACGTAGGAATTTGTAAGGGGAATCCTATCGGAAGATAGGCGTATGCGATCATGCTAAATTGGCATCAAGTTGACAGTATACGTAAAATTGCATGATCCGGATTCGCGCAGCAAATTTTTGCTTTCCGCGTATAGTTTACGGCAAATTATCCCACTTTCAATTTTATTTCAGGTATAGGCGATCACGCCAATTTTAGTTAATTCTTCTTACCTTCTGACGAACCATTTCGACCTTTTCCATGTTTTTTTCGAAAATCTTCCAATTTTAAATCATCATCTTCTGGGAATCGCACTTTCTTCGTTTAGATTACAATTTGTTTGAGTGTTACAAATGCAAGTTTCCTACATTATACCCTCAGGATAGGTAGTAACACTGTATATATGACTAAAATATTTACTCATTTGAATCTGTTCACAGGCATCATTAATTTACAGATTTTGTCTGACTTTATGTGCTTTAATGAGTTGATATATAGTACATAGATATTAATACTGAAAAGTGAAGATATAACATCGGAGACCTATTTTCTCGTTCTTTTTTACTTCTCAAAGTGTGTTAAATGCTTCATTTTGTAAAATGCAAATGAAGCAACGAATTTCTCCATCTTTTTGTTACTCACTTCGAGACTTACTTAACCTCTGCAATATATTGTCACTTTCAGATCTCTTGTCTTATCTTCGAGTTTCGTGCGTTTCTAATTTCGCTCCCCTAGAAACTGAAGAGATTAGCAAATAATCATTCAAAGCTGATTCAGATCCCTTGAATAACACATCGCTTCCCAAATTTATTTATACCTACGCAGTTAACTAGGTTATAAATGACGGAAATCTGTTTTCCTTTTTTGTCTGATGCAAATTCAAGAATTTGATAAGGTACGTGGAATGAGTTGAGTGACAGGTAATAAACCACAATATTTGTTGTGCAATAAAAATCTAATAACTTAACATTTCTCATCGTCAGAAGTGACAACGACAAAAAGTTTAGTTGAGAATCGCAGAAGATTTACTAGAAACAATTCCCTTAAATTGCATAGTATTTATAATAATTACTAGCTTTTCCCAGCGGCTTTGCTCGCAGAAATTAATATTGTTTCACCATAAGACCTTTTGACTCTCAATTCACCCTGACAACGTTTTAATTTTATGTAATGTCGCCATCTTAGATTTCAAATACAAACGTATCAACAACATTTCATCCTTAAGCGTTGATTTTTAAAAATTACCAAAACACGTATTTGCTTAATTTCAGCAATGAGCAATCTTCGAGTAAATCCGAGTACAAATAAAATATACCCCATGGAAACGTTGCAATCTCCTTTCATTTGATTAATAATATCAAACAGCATATATACCAAGTTTTTGGAGGTTGAATTTTTTAAAATGTCTAGATAGGTCTTTCAGAAATTTAATGAGAGACCATTAAGACCAAATTTCAAGTAAATCTGACCACTAATAATATATGTTCCATTTAAACATTGCAACTCCTCTTCACCACTCCTCCCCCCCAACCGAGATTGAATTTTTGTTATACCATTTTTAACAAATGAACCCCTAGACTGATAAATTTTTCGTTTTGCTGTCAGTTGCGTTTTGTTATTCCATGTCAGTTGCGTTTTATTATACCGTTTTATGTCAAGTTCCACGGAAACGTGATAAAAAACAAGCACCCTATGTCCGTCTCCTGGTTCTAAGGTACCTCCCCACCAATTTTCAGCCAAATCGATTCAGCCGTTCTTGAGTTATAAATAGTGTAACTAACACAACTTTCTTTTATATATATAAATAGATATGAGCCAAATATATCCGACTTCGATTAACACTGAATCGTGAACTGAGTCAGATTGTCTAATGTGAACATGATTAGATTTTACCAGACCGAGATCGGACCGCGAACGAACCGCGATCAATCTTATAGTGTGGATCCAACCTAATTCGCAGTGGTATTTTAGCGAAACCCACCAGACAATTAAATAGAACATATATGTACATACCAATTTCGTCTCATCAGTGAGATTACCCTAGTTATTCTAAACTTCTAAATCTCTAAATCTAAATTTGATTTTGTTNGTTCTAAGGTACCTCCCCACCAATTTTCAGCCAAATCGATTCAGCCGTTCTTGAGTTATAAATAGTGTAACTAACACAACTTTCTTTTATATATATAAATAGATATGAGCCAAATATATCCGACTTCGATTAACACTGAATCGTGAACTGAGTCAGATTGTCTAATGTGAACATGATTAGATTTTACCAGACCGAGATCGGACCGCGAACGAACCGCGATCAATCTTATAGTGTGGATCCAACCTAATTCGCAGTGGTATTTTAGCGAAACCCACCAGACAATTAAATAGAACATATATGTACATACCAATTTCGTCTCATCAGTGAGATTACCCTAGTTATTCTAAACTTCTAAATCTCTAAATCTAAATTTGATTTTGTTGAATGACACTAACAAAATCGATATATATTTATATCGCATAACCTTATTTCTAACATTGCTCTTGCTTTTGATTATTATCATAGTTTGGAAAGTGCTTAAAAATTTGTTACAGTTCGTATGACAAATATGCTTCTGTAGTGACTATTATTCTTCAATCTAACGAACATAGATTTCAAATTTTTGCTGTCGATTCCCACAAAAACTAAAAACAAAACGTTCATGCACATTCGGCAAGCTTTGAAGGCGTTTTTTTGTGGGCTATGGCTTTGTGACAATCCGTTTGTACCTTTTTGCGTGTACTCGAGATAAAAATGTTCAATCTCTCCGAGTCTCTGAAAGCGAGACTGGAGTCTTCGTCTCTCATCGAGTCTCTCTGGTGTCGCTGAGAGAGACTGTCAAAAAAACTGTTTAGCGTCTCTGAACGAGAGACTCGAGTCGCTCATAGAGAGATCCTCATTTCGTATCCAGTCTCTGAACGAGAGACTCGAATCTCTGAACGAGAGACTCGAATCTCTCAATAAGTGGTGTCTCGATAGACAAGGTTAAAATTTTCTAAGTTCAGAGATCCCAGTCTTTTTATGAGAGACTCCAGTTTCTCAATTTTTCAGTTTTTTTCATTCAGTCTCTCTGTGAGACATTCGAATCTCTGAATTACCAATTTTATCGTTCGAGTCTCTCATACAAAGACTGTGGGAGATCCATAAAAACACCTAGGCAATAACTGAGAGACTATGAGAGACGCTCTCAGAGACGCTGAAAGACTGAAAGACTCTGAGAGACTGAAAATTTATTCTAGGGTATGACTAGCACAATAATTACATTCATTAATTAATATATCCTGCAGACGTTAAATACGATTTCTGCCGAGAAGAATTCTACAATAGTGTTTCCACTACCAATCGATATGGTGACATATTTCTTACAAGCGAAACAAAATTCCCAAAAAGATCCGTTTTAATAAAAAAGGTAAAAAGAATCACCGAGTGAGCATTGTGATAAAAAGTTGTAAGTGCACTTCAAATAAAACACTCTGTATTTTACATTTCTCGTTAAACGTATATAATTGTATGATATAGGTACTTATAATATACAAAAGGTTGTGCCTCCGCTGCTGGCAACGGCAATGGCATTAAAAAGGGACATTATCCAACTATCCAACAAAATCAGCAAAAATTTCCTATGTATACGTACAAAAATCCTTATTGTACTCCTACGGTAAGAAATAAAACACAAAAAGGTATTAAATCGGCTGAGACCAGAATCCACGCCGGAAAATGAACTTTCATATGAAAATAGTTGGGATTTTGCGCTAGAATTGTCTTTGCTTATCTACACGTGACTATCTGAAAACTTCACCTGCTTGCCTTAAAATTATTCTAAACCAGGGGTGGTCAACCCAATTAGACCCACTATAGTCATTTTTTTGAACTTATAACTGTAAACTCATTAATAAAACAGGTAATATTTGTCATATATTCACAGAAATATTATTAGTATTAATGTGAAAATTTTTTTAACAATTACAAATTACCTTAAATTAACAAAGAAAAATTGTTGATGCTGTCACACCCTCGTCTGGAATCGAATCCGAGAACTTGGAATTTAGCGCTCAGAGCAACGGTGCGTAAAGTCAAAGATCCCGGGTTCGACTCCCGGCGAGTGTATAACAGCGTCAACACTTTTTTCTAACTAATTTAAGGTATTTTATAATGGATAAGTTAATTTTTTTTTAAATATTTCACATGATATCAATGTTAATTTTTTCTCATAATTTTCGACAGTTAATTTTTTAATATATGGACGCAAAAATAATATATTTTTTTAATACGTTGGTTTTCACTACTTTGGCGATTATAAAGTAAATATATTTTACAAAGCTATGATGAATTTTTCCCGAGCCCGAAAAATGGTCAAGAGGTCCCGCATGCGGCCACAGGCCACGTGTTGGCCAGCCCTGTCCTAAACTCTCAAGTCCTAACAACAACTGCATTTATCGGACTTATATTACTGCATTATTTATATAAAAAAAATGGCTGATGGCATTTGTACAAATTATTCTATACCATGTCGCATTTTTCAAAAATTGATGTCTGCCATTTGACTTTTAGTCAGCCGCGGCTGGGACTGTGGGTATAATTAATGGTGTCATGATCGTGATGCTTTTAATTAAATTATGGGTACCGTTACCGACAGAGGGGGCACATCCTAATTACCATTATTATGATGTGAAATAAAAATGTTTGAATGTACTAAGTCAGAGTTTTATTAAAGCAATTTAGGCACTGCAGAAAGGATACAAAAATAAGGTAAGTTTCAAAGTTTGGCGCTTTAGAAGATTGACAATGTCACAGTTATAAATATTTCAATTACTGTAATTAATAAGTAAAGGTACTTACATAAGACAGTATTACCGGATGGATAGTGGGCTTAACTGGAAATAATTCAATTTTTCATGCATATAAGTAAATCGGTACTTTCTGGAAGCAGTATTTGGTTCAAATGCGGATAATTAACATCTGGGTTAATTGAAGTAGTATATTGTAGAGATCATTTAGAATGACATGAATTTTGACCTTGGGTAGTGCAGGGGTAAAACTCCTTCCGTTAATCGATATCTACTTTGTTTTTTGATTATTATTACTACATCCACTTTGATTTTATCTTACGTGCTGTATCATGTACGAGGGTGGATTGATAAGTTTCCGGCCTAACCAAGAGATGACGCCACTAGGCCTACCTTGAGGTGACATTCTATAGTACCATCCTTGGATAGCTTGTAGCTATAGTTTCAGCCCGATCTCCTTGCTAGTGTAGGTTTGACAGCACGCTGAACAAGACGCCTCTGTGGTTTTCGTAAAAATGGAAAAGCAGGAAAATCGTGCTGTCATCAAATACTTTTATTTGAAGGGGTTAACGCCGAAGGAAATTAAAAAAGAGATGGACTCAACACTGGGGACATCCTCCCCGTCATATTCAACCGTTAAGCAGTGGGTTTCCGAGTTTAAAAAGGGTCGTGTGAGCACCTCTGATGGGCCTCGCTCAGGACGCCCCGTTGAGGTCACAACTCCAGATATGATCGAAAAAATTCATCAAATAGTGCTGGGAGACCGCAGATTGAAAGTGCGTGAGATAGCTGAGACCTGTAAGATGTCATATGAACGTGTGCAACATATTTTGCACCAACATTTGCATATGGAAAAGCTCTGTGCAAGATGGGTGCCGCGTTTGCTAACAGTCGACCAAAAATTGATTCGAAAAAACATTTCTACCGCAAATTTGTCATTGTATAAGCGTAATCCAAGCGAATTTTTGCGTCGATTCGTAACCGTTGACGAAACGTGGGTCCACCACTACACTCCTGAAACCAAAGAACAGTCTAAACAGTGGATTGGACCAGGGGAACCAACTCCAAAGAAGGCAAAAACAATTTTTTCGGCGAACAAGGTTATGGCTACTGTTTTTTGGGATGCAAGAGGTATTATATACATTGATTACCTTGCAAAGGGTAATACTATCACTGGTCAATACTACGCAGACTTATTGCAACGTTTGAGCCACGAGGTGAAAATTAAACGACCTCATCTGGCGAAGAAAAAAATCTTGTTTCATCACGATAACGCACCAGCGCACACGTCAATCGTTGCGACGGCTAAAATCAACGATCTAAAGTTTGAATTGATGCCGCACCCTCCTTACTCTCCAGACCTAGCCCCGAGTGACTATTTTCTGTTCCCTAATCTCAAAAAATGGCTTGGCGGTAAGAGATTTGCGGACAATGAAGAAGTAATCGAAGCTGTAAATGGTTATTTTGAGGAGCTTGACGAATCAGTCTATAGAGATGGCATTAATAGACTGGAACACCGCTATGAGAAATGTATCAGCCTTGGAGGAGATTATGTTGAGAAATAAAAAAAAAAAATTTTTAAAAACCTTGTTTTTCTTGGTCAGGCCGGAAACTTATCAATCCACCCTCGTATATACAAATACTTAAGACATCTGAATGACTTAAAGATGTTTATATTCGTTGTATTTAAATAAAATAAAGTAAATTTGTAATAGCAGCGACCCATATGTTACGTGGTACATGTATATACTTTATAGTATTATTTTCTAGAATTTGGGTGGAGGAGCCAGACATATCTATAATGAAACAAAATTTAATACGTGTACTACAATTCAAAAGTTTAAATTAGTATCTAAAATATTCAACAATAGTAAAACAATAATAAATAACCGAGTGATTAATTTTGAATTCATCGTTTCTGTTACAGTAACAACGTTTTGTCAGTAACTGAACGAAAATATGGTTATATTGGGAAAATATTTAATGGTAATACATGCTTAATACCTTCATAAAAAATAAGCACTTCAAACTTTATCGCTCCAAATTTTAATAATTTTTAATTCATACTTCTAGTAAGTACCTACTTACTTGCCTTTATAACTGTTTAATCCACAAAATTAATATTAGTCCATTTTCGCTACGCCCTTATTTCTTAACGTTCTTATCATTAAACCCGGGGATGAGCACAGAATTTTTATTAGCGAGAGGGTGCTCAAAAAAGGAGTATACATAATTTGAAAACAGATTTTTTAATGTTTTTTTTTATAGCTTAATACGTAATCTTGTAATTATTCAATTGAAATAAACAATAACTTAGATACTCCCTCCTGCGAAATTATACATATAAATGTGCCTCACTGTTGTCGAGAATCACATAAAGATTTAGAAAAGTTTTTGGATATTCTAGTTAATTTTATTACTCAATTATGATTACATATGCATCTTAGATAAAAATGAACTAGAAGTTGATCAGTTAATGCAAGATTTGTAAGTTTTTGCAAAATTCTGTCTATTGAAGTATTAGCTTCCTCCGTCTCCCATGTAGATAATTTATGCTTATGCGAAAGGTTTAAAAATATGAACACTTCAGATATTTTTTATTAAACTTTATATTTATTTAAAAATTAAAGAACCATATGGTAGACAATCGTTAGTATCGATCTTGTAACAAAAATTACCTCAAAAATGTTTTTATCATTTTTAATCCTTTAGGAAAAGGAATTTCCACACGGTTGCTGTACATAATTTATACAAAATCCCCTATTTCCAATATCCAATGGGGCTTCCACGCTATCAGTATGAAAATATAACCGAAATGGTCTCACATTACCTGAAAAAATAATTATTATTTACAATCTTATTTACTCATGTATTGTATAAAAAAAATAAGTTGCACTAAATTTGGTATTCTTGCTAAATGCAGTGCATTTTATTTCTCTTTAAAAAAGAACTTTATCGGACGATAACGGTTAGGTATACATATAAACGAATTCCAATAAAAAGTTATATGATTTATCCAACTTACTTCTAATTGTACTCGGGATTCTGGTAACATCTGCAGCTAATATTCCACCACAAATCCTATCAATTGTCGAACTTTGTTCTGTAGTTGTACGACCAATATTGGAAGCTAAAGGAACCACAAGGAAGTCGGATCTACAGAAATTACTTCCTACCATTGATGGTACAACATCCCGCGAATCGCCCGTTAATGTGAATGACACATTTCTTACTAAAATTTGAATGCAACAACAACTTGTGTATAAATCAGATCCAAAATAGCGTTGTAAATAATATTATTGATATAAAAGCAACATCATTAAAATTCCTTACAACAACATTTTGGTTTAGATATTTTACACAATGAAATAACATAGTCTTTTACGACCTAATGGATTAAATATAGTCGTTGTCTTCAAGCCCTCCTGCATTGGTACCCCTTTGTTGAAACTGACAGTTCGTAGTTTTACTATTTACTGCTGAATTGAACACAAATTGTAATCCTTCCCATAAATTTAGAAAATAAGTCTTTATTTAGTTACCATGGAGAGCATTATGACCTTACGTGTGACAGCAGTGAGCTCTAAGGATAGCAAAAACGAACTCCAGTAAAACTTCAGGTGGATGTTTCTAATCGAATGAGGGACAAAGAAGGGGGACGCAAAGCTCATGACTATTAATTCAAATAACATTTTTTGAACACCAAAAATTCGAAATCCAAGTTTTTATGATGATACTAAGTTTTACCCGCAGCTTCACTCGCGTTGATGTTTTGAATAAGTGACAAAGACCACATAAAACTAATTTTTGTATCCCTCGGGAAAAGTATTTCTGGATAAAAGGCACCTTATGTCCTTTCCTGTACCCTTGATAATGGGTGTAAAAAATTTCATTATGATCGGTTGAGTACTTAAGGCGCGAAGTGGTAATAGACAAACATTATTTCCACATTTCTGTTTTAGGGATTTTTGATATTTACCTGAATCAAAGCATTGCGTATATTGAATGCTGCAGAAATTTCTCTCGGCGCGAATGCAGATACTGTAATCTTGATTAGATAACTGTCGTCCATCAGTCACACCATAATTGAAAGATTTCATTTGCCCCGAAACTCCCGTATGATATTGCAGACAATTATCATCAGCTGCAAGCATATCCATTTTAATTAACATCAACCGAATTAAATATCCTAACTTCACACATTACTCTAATGAATATAATGGGAATATTTTAAAATACGAAACGATACAGATTTTATAAAATGAATACGTATTTTTCATATAATTTTTAAGTACCTGCAATATTTTACAAACCTTTATATTGTGCATTACAAGGAATTTGCGAAATTCTAATTTTCCAACTTCTAGAGAACGAAGATCCACTTGTGACTATTGATAATGTTATAGGATTTGAAATTCCATTTCCAGCATTAATATACACTAAAATACATTAGTGTCGGTTTTAAGTGGTTTTTTAACTGCGGAATTATTGTAAAAAGGGTAGTTACTGTGATTTCCGGTATTAATCCCGCAAATTGTTGGGATTGGACTGCTACCAACTACAATAAACTGATCGTCATTACACAAGTGATTCGTACTTTCGGGACCAGTTGTGTTAAATAAGTCAAAATCCAACCTGTCGAACAGCAATAGATATAATCTTCTAAAAAAACTTTTCGTTTTTAAAAATAGGGGTAGATTCAAAAGGTAGAGTATGAGACGATGTCTCGTGCTAAAGATTTCTTATTATAAAATATATTCAGTAAATTAGACCAGCTACTTTGGAAGCAAAAAAAAATGTGCTGAATTATACCTACTAGTACTATATATGTATATGACACTCCTTGACATTTAATAGTGGTTAATATTAAATATTAATGTAAAAATTCGTTTTGAATTTCTTACCCACCATAAACTACATCAGGTTAATGAGGGAAAATTTGTTGCTGTTGTCACACCCTCGCCGGGAAACGAACCCGGGACCTTTGGCTTTACGCACCAATACTCTCACTATTAAACGTAAAGTCAAAGGTCCCGGGTTCGATTCTCGGCGAGGGTGTGATAGCATCAACGAATTTTCCCTCATAAACCTGATGTAGTTTATAGTGGGTAAGAAATTCAAAATGAATTTTCACATAATACCCACTAGTGTTGTGATCTAAGTTGCAAATGTTCATGTAAAATTTTTGTAGTACATTCGAAAACAATTTTATATACTTTATTTTAACAGGTCAATTGAAAAGTCCCCGGCCTAAAATAGAAAAACACATTTTTTTTTGCAAAATTCGTTTTTTTTATTCAACATAATTCTCTTCAAGGGTGATACACTGATTATAGCGATCCTCCAACTTTTCGATACCATTTTTGTAGTACGATTTGTCCTTTGCTTCAAAATAGGCCTCAGTTTCGGCGATCACCTCTTCATTCGACGAAAATTTTTTCCCAACGAGCATTCTTTTGAGATCTGAGAACAGGAAGTAGTCGCTGGGGGCCAGATCTGGAGAATACGGTGGATGCGGAAGCAATTCGAAGCCCAATTCATGAATTTTTGCCATCGTTTTCACTGACTTGTGAGACGGTGCATTGTCTTGGTGAAGCAGGACTTTCTTTTTCTGCAAATGCGGTCGTTTCTCGGCGATTTCGTCCTTCAAACGGTCCAAAAACGCTATGTACTAGTCGCTGTTGATGGTCCTTCCTTTTTCAAGGTAGTCAATGAAAATTATTCCACGCGCATCCCAAAATACAGACGCCATAACCTTGCCAGCCGACTGTTGCGTTTTTGCACGCTTTGGAGCGGGTTCATCGTGTGCAGTCCACTCCGATGACTGTCGATTGGACTTCGGAGTGAAATGATGGAGCCATGTTTCATCCATTGTCACATTTGGACGCAAAAACTCGGGTTTATTACGCGTGATCATCTTCAAACACTGCTCTGAATCATCAACTTGTCGTTGTTTTTGGTCAAAAGTGAGCTCGCGCGGCTCCCACTTTGCACAGAGCTTTCTCATACCCAAATATTCGTGAATGATGTGATGTATACGTTCCGTTGATATCTGTAGAGTGTCTGCTATTTCATTCAATTTCAATTTACGGTCATTCAAAATCATTTTGTGGATTTTTTTAATGTTTTCGTCCGTAACAGCCTCTTTTGGGCGTCCACTTCTTTCACCGTCTTCGGTGCTCATTTCACCACGTCTAAACTTAGCATACCAATCCTTGATGGTTGATTTTCCTGGGGCAGTGTCCGGAAATTCGTTATCAAGCCAAGTTTTTGCTTCAGCTGTATTTTTTCCCTTCAAAAAGCAATATTTTATAAACACGCGAAATTCCTTTTTATCCATTTTTTTCACAATAACAAAAGTTGCTTCACTAAAAATGCTATAATTCACAAACTAATTATCCGACGGCCGTCAAATTTATAGACGCGTCTTTTGAAGGTTAGGACTAACTGAAAATCATATGGATTTAGTTCTGGTGCCGCCATTTATGTGTCAGGCCGGGGACTTTTCAATTGACCCTAGTATTTCAAAACTTATTAACGAATTTTATCTCCAAGCATGCACTTAAGTACAGAGTGGGTGCTTACAACAACAAAACGGTTTTTCATCTATAAATCCAATGACAATCAAACTATGAAATTCAAAGTTTTACCCATATAAATTTTAACAATATTTCACTTCAATTGAATGCCAAATTCTGCAAACATTCGGTGAATAATGATCGCTAATATAATACGATTCTCCAAATGTGTAAATAGTGTTTCATTGCTACCGTATCAGATAGCTCGTTATATGCTTTTGTGTTGCGTACATATTTAGTTTATGTTTCAATTAACAGGACTTACATAACTGTTCCGTTTTAATTAAAGATATTTGAGGTCTATTTTACGTAGCTATCCGTTTGTAATTTACATAGTTTCTATTCTGGGAAATAGGATATTGGTCTATGCGAATGCTGTTCGAACATTGAACTAAATACATAGCTGTTGACAGTAATTAGAAGCATTTTTGGAAAATACATTGATTCGCAAAACAAAGCCATTTTACTTATGATTACAAATCCAATAATAACTATCTATTAAAGAGAAACATTTATTTTCAATTCAATTTTGTAATGAGAATCTGAAATTCATAACAAGCATCTAGCGAAAATGAAAATTGGAAAAAATTAAGCTTACTCAGACGTTAACCCCAAACAAAAATTAAAAAAAGTACATTTCAAAATCGATATTCATGAATAAATAAATAATTTTTGAAAAACCACAATGTTTGCGATACTTTTTGAATAGACCTCGTATATATGTAAGCTTCATTTTTTAGCCCTTGTTTTAAATCAACTCTGAGGATGTTTAGATGTGAAACCAGTAACGAAACATTACCATCTTGCGAACTGTTAATACAGTTAAAGTACGAATAATTGCTACATACTTCATTAGTACCTAAATCAAAAAACTGAAGAGCAGTTTTCGCTTCAATTACCAGCGAAACCAAAGCTTTTGTTTATAAAGTTCCTGGGTCCTGCGGGTGACATATTAATTGGAAAAGCTGTTGTTCTTGTTCAACTAATCCGCACAAGTCAATTAATGTAGATTATTACCGTTTGATTGAAAACGTGCTATAGCTATAGATTTCTACGTATCATTATATATACATTGTACATCGTACATTTACAAATAAAACAAGAACAATTTATATAATCCTGTACCTATTCATAATTTTTTCCATTGATAATCATTATATCGCACTTGAAAAAATACTTAGAAGTATTTAAAATTTATTTACAATTTGCCTTTACATAAATAAAATCGTTTTTTGACGTGACAACGTCTTATAATTCGATAGAGCCGGCTGCACGCACGAAAAAACATGACTCATGCGGCGTTACCTCGCTCTGAGGCGTTCCATTTAAGGCTTGAAGTGCAAGCGAGAGCGCGGAACGAGCGACAAAGAGGCACAATGGCCTCCGCGTTCGGCAGCGTTCGACATCTGTCTCTCTCCTACTTGAGTGAGCGATGCGTCCGCGTGGACAGCTGCTATACAGTAATACATTTCCAAAATATCTATCAAACAAATAAAATTAAAATTTTCTTTTGAAAAATGAAACCATTTAATCAGTATTTTCTTATGACTTTGTCACGTTCAACTATCGTCAGTAAACCGACTTTACAGACAACCGATTTTTTTTTTGAAAAGGTTTTAGCTTCCTTTCTGATAATCAAAGCTATTCATTCATAAGACGGTCTTCAAATACTTAAACATACTACGGAAGTTATACTTTTCATTTACTATTAAAGATAGCTTTAAATAAAATGGAAGCGGTATTGACAAAAGGGTACTGTATGAAAATAAATAAAAGTAAAACAAAAATATTGGTATGCAAGGGAAGAAATAGTAGGGAAAGAGCGAATATAAAGATAGGAGACGAAAAATTAGAAGAAGTGACTGATTTTTGGTATCTAGGAAGTCGAATAAGCCACGGTGGAAGGAGTAATACCGATATAAAACAAAGGATAGCACAGGGTCGAATCGCCTTCAATAAGGAATAGGCGAGATAGGCTAGGAGGACATCTTCTCAAGCATGAAGGGTAGGGGGTTAGAGACATATTACAAGTAAAAACAGGAGACAAGAGGAGTGAAGATAGACTTATTAACTCAGAATAGGAAAAGGTGGAGATGCGTGTTCAGTCAGTTTTAGAACTGACGACCTTATGATAATGATAATGATGATGACTTACTACTGAAACGTAATTAAAACCAAAACAGTTGTATAATCTAATAAAAAACTAGAGAGATCAAAATAATATATGCATTTTCTCGAATTTTTATGTGAGATAGATTAGCCAATTTTTAGCAATTATGCCACAGTATTTAGTAAACGTAGTGCATTTATTTTTAAAAGGTTTTCCGTGAAATAGTTTAAATAATTTGTCATTAAAACAAAAAGAATGTACAAAGTTAGAGTTATGGCTGAAATAGAGGTAATGCGGAGTATAGAATGTAGTTTAGGGTTCTTGTTGATGTAGGGTTGTTGTTATCCTTGAAGACTAACATGTAGATAGATAGGACTTGATCTTTAATACTTCAATTGTTTTTTTTTTCCTACGCAAACTTAAAACTGAATCTTATAATTAATAATGTAAACCGTTTGATTGTTTATGATTTCTTACCTGTATTGGCAAATATTTAAATTCGGTTTGATAAGAGTAACCTGGCAGGAACCGATTCCATTATACGCCCTTGGGTATCCCATTTGTACAAAGTAGGTTATATTTTCTCTTACTGTCATACCACAAGTAGCTCTTACTGAAACATTGAATAAGTATTTTGAAGAAATTTCCCAAAAAATTCGTTTAGTGTCTAGGATTAATTTATTAGCTGTTTTATCAATCAGTATTAGCAACAAAAGTTAATGTAATAGCGTTAGTATAGTTATAGAAATAACTATTTTTCCGACAATATCTTTTTCGTTTTTTATACAAAAAAAACTCTGATTGAAAGGAACATTATGTTTAAGTCATTATTTTTTTTTGCACCAAATCAATGAGCTTACGAGAGTCTCCAGAGAAAACACCACTCTACACAAAGTTTTCGCAATAAAGTTGTCCGACTCGACATAAAGAACATATTATATATACGAAGAAGTCTCAACGGGGTTGGTTATCTTAATCTTTTTTTAGAGCAAGCTTGTACTTCCGAGAATTGTAGCTAATAGTAGCTAATAACTGTTGAAAAAAAATATTATTTGTTTAATAGTGTGTAATAATGCTTACTGTGAAACTTGTCCAATGAGTTAGATACTTTTTTCATACATGATGCAAAAATTACTGTTTCACTAGTTTATTTAATGACTCCAGTAATTTTCAAACTGTTTTCATTGAACTGAGGTAGTTTACATTTTTTTAATAAGAAATATTCTTCACATGAATTAGGAAATAGATTTAATACAATCGACAAAGCCCAACAAATAAAATGTAATTTTGAAGATTTGCTGATCCTAATCAAAACTTTCTGGTTAAGTTTTCGGCGAATTTATTATTTTAAATTCGTCAGTATTATACTGTTTCATAAGTACATTTAAAATTCGACTTCGCAGCAAACAATGAATTTGTGAAAATTTTATCGTAAACTGTGAACTATATTCATCATATTTCTTTTGTGTCTTTCGATTCTTGACGTATACTACGTTTCGGGTTTAACGGTTTTGAGATTATTACAGAAGGTTAAATGGTTTTCTGAGCCTATTTGAAACGGGCCTAAGAATAGGGAAAATTAATGTTGTGCGAAATCGCTGGACCCGATATAAAAAGGATTTCCGTTTCTGAACTAAAAGCAATTGAAACTTTGTTCTTTGTAAAAACAGGAAATCCAATGATATTCTTGTATGATTTCGGGAAAACCTTTTTCCGATTTCTGTCAATATTAGCGAGCTGACCCCACCATTAAATATATTTGTGAAGCATATTTTATTGATACTAAAGAAAATTGGAAAGCAGAAAACAAAACAAAAGATCCTATTGCTATATTAACTTCTAAAGGTATGATCTCTGAGATACTTTTAATTTTTGTAGCGTTAATTCAATGTATTACTGATTAAAATTTTAACTAAGTCCTGATTAAGTTGAAAATTCTAAATTAATCTTGAATATGGGGGATATTATTCAGGAGACCAATAAAAAATTAAAAAAAAAAGTTTTGCAAACTGTACCGTGTGACATATCAATTGAAAGGGTTTATTGTAAGGGTCTCAAATATATTTTTTTTATAATTTTAGAATACTTATAGGGTACAGGAAAATTAATAAGAAGTCTATGGTCTGAACGTAATGTACTAAATGTTTTAATTAACAAAACAATATGGTGCTACAAATTTACATTTATAGTTTGAATGTATGGGAGAGAATGTTCTTGTTTTAATTACAATGTTAAGTTAGTTCTGGTATTAGAATTATAGGGTCACTTGTGTGCCTGCCTGTCTGCTTTTTGTCTTGCATAATTCAATTTAACAACAATAAATGCTAAGACCTTAGGCATCCTATATTCCGTTTTAGCGAGTTTATCAAGTTTTTGTTATCATTACATACATACATATTAATTGGACCAAATGTACTTATCATGACATATACGTACAAGCTAATTATAAATCGAGGCAACCTTTCAGACAGAAACACAAAGTGCGCTAGGGGCGGTGAGACAACATTTTCCTTAACTTGCAGAATAGACAAGTTGCAGTTGAACTTTATGTCGGATATGAATTTTTGATACGATCAGCGTATCTTCATTTTCAATGCGACGAGCGTAGGTGCATTACAGATTACATGGCCGGATTGATCAATAGATAAAATCACAGTAAATACACGTTGGTAAATAAGAATATACGATATTATAAATTCCTGTTTAAAACGAAGTCGTTATGAAGCGATCTTTTTTACATTTATATATACATAAATGCAGAAGCACATGGGGTAGGAAAGTATAGGGAAGTTATTACGAAATGTACCTGTTTGAGAGTAGGTATTTCCAAAAATAGAAGCGGAGATGAAACAGAAAGTGAATTTGTTATTTTGTTTGAGTTTGGAATTCAATTTATTATATATTGATCGTTAAATTCCTATCGTTCGTGGACTTGTAGGTATATTGCTGTTAAATGCAAATAAATTATTTAAAATAATCAATCTGTTGATTACCACTTGGTAAAACATTATTACCAAATATAGTACTAAAGATTAATGTGAAATAAACTTAATTAAATTTGTTGCTTCTCTCACACCCTCGCCGGGGATCGAACCCGGGCTATTCGTACCAGTCCTGGCCATTGCTACTGTCTCCTCTTCCAGCATAGTAGTAAGAGTACTGGTGCGTAAAGCCAAGAGCCAGGGTTCGATTCCCGGCAAGGGTGCCACAGCAACGACAAATTATTCCTTAACAACATGAAGTAATCTATAGTGGTAGAAATTGAGTTGATTTCACATTAATGTTGGATAATTACTAAAATATTAAGCACTCTTAAAAGTATTAATGGTAATAAAAGTAAAACACTTCGTAAGTGTGCGACTCTTTCATGGTTCCAAAGTAAAAAAACAAAAATCAAAATATAGTTGAATGTACTTTATTCTAATGTAAATTAAAGCTTAATAAGTACTAATTAATATTTACAACGGCCAATCTCATTATATTTCCATAAAGTACGTAAAATTATTTTGAGCAGGTGTCCTCGTTCGACCTAAATGAGTACTTATAATAAAAGCCTACATTATTTGATATTTAATGGTTAATTATATTTTAGTGTTACCATTATCACATAACCTTTTCTACTTCATTCAAAGGAAATAATATTTACCTATGCAGCAAGCACCGTAACCAGCAGCACAAGGTGTGGTTGAAAATCCACCCCTTTGTCGACACTCGGCTGAGGATGACAAACATACCCCAAAATCTCCACTCGAACTTAAACACATTTGGTTACTCAGGTTAACATATGTAAATATCGGAAATACTGGAACAACAAATAAAAAGTGCTTTACATAAATAATTTACTAATGAGTATACAAAAATAATATTAAGGTTATCGTAGGTGTATTTGCTAAGAAACATGTTGAATATTACAATAATACACGGGAATTTTTCAACAATAATATAATTAAAAAACAACTCGACAATTGTTTCGACCTACTCGGTCATTTTCAAGAGTACAGAAAAGTAGCTAGTGCTATATTATTTTTTTTATATTTATTATTATTTTTTTTGGTTTCGTGGAAAAGGGGAAATCTTTAAAAGGCACTCAGCCGTCCGTACAACAAGGTAGTGTCGGATTCCCGAGGAAGAAGGTCATAAAGTCTTCAGGTTCTCTTCAGCCGTATATGTTTGTGTATTATGTGATTGTGGTTTTTATAATAATGTGTGTGTGTGTGTGTGTGTGTGTGTATATGTAAGTATGTGTGCGTGTGTGCGTGTGTGTATTTGAATTTGTGTGAATTTACGTGTGAGTGGATGTTTTTATTTTAGGTAGTTGGGGCGTCTTTCATAGTAGTTCATGGAGGGAGATCTGGAGTAATTGCAGGTTAGAAGGGGATTTTGTTTTTTGGCTTTCGTGGTATTCGTTGAGGTTAGAGTTGTTATTATTGATGGAGACTAACACGTAAATTTTCAAAATTTATACTTAATATAGTAGAGTGGGGGTTCCATAGAGACAATTGGAAAACAAAATGGGACTTAAGTAAAGGTATATTAAAGTTTAGTGATCCTCTCTGATTATATTATTAACTAATATTTTCCCTGCTTGAAGAGTGTTCTTGATCTCTAGATTATCTAAAAATGTAATTACTTGAAAATGACCGAGTAGGTCGAAACAATTCTTGTGATTTTTTTAAATATTGTTATAGCAGTATTAGTATCTAGCAAAGAGGACCTAGAGATAGCTTTAAATAAAATGGAAGCGGTATTGACAGGAGACGAAAAATTGGAAGAAGTGGCTGATTTTAGATATCTAGGAAGTCAAATAAGTCAGGATGGAAGGAGTAGTAGGGATATAAAGCAGAGGATAGCGTAGGGTCGTGTCGCCTTTAATAAAAAGAAGTCATTTATCTGCTCGCGAACGGTTAATTTAGAAATTCGAGGAAGATTGTTAAAGGTTATGTTTGGAGCGCGGCATTGTACTATGGAAGTCAATAAAAAATAGGCGAGATAGATTGATAGGACACCTTCTCGGGCATGAAGGTCTAGTCAGAGACATATTAGAGGCAGAAACAGGAGTTAGGAGGGGTAGAGGTAGACCTAGGTTAGATTACTGTTCACAAATAGTTAAGGATGTGGGTTGTTCTAGTTTTAGGGAAATGCGAAGTGTATCTCAGGATAGGAAAGAGTGGAGGTACGTGTCCAACCAATCTTAGGACTGACGACCCTATGATGATGATGATGATGATGATGTGTATAAGTAATTTATTTGGCATTTTATACTTTTAAATATCAAGCATTTTCTCGAAAAATAAGAAGTGCCAAAAGCATTTTCCCCTGTTTTAGAAGATTTTTGATGCTTAGAAACAGTGTGCGTAGTATTATTTATATATACTGTGCGCAGTTGTTATCTTAAATGGAACATCTTTCGTCTGTTCATTTTAAAATGAAACATTTTCTGTGTAATGAACAACATGAATCTACATAATAAAAGGTCACAAAGTTTGAAATACGAAGCGGAAATAAGGACATGAATAACTTAAACCGTATACAGACTGTTACGTAAACTGAAATTAGTTTAAAAGGGAAGTAAATTTAGGTAAATATTTCATTTTATAGTACACGTTTTCACTAAAAGAACAAAGAATACAACGCAATGAATTCAATACAAAATTCCAATGTACTCTGATAAAAGTAAACAAGGGGTATTTTACGGTACACAAAATTAAACTTCACAATTTGTTTGAATAACATCTGAATTCCTCCTAGAATATTATTAAGTCAAAGAGTAATTGCATGTAGGACGAACAATAATAAACATTACATCATAAATAATAAAAAAAAAATAAGGATAATCTAGAGTATGACGGTTTGATTGTGAAATTTTACCTAATACTAATACAAAAATTTATATAAACAAGCTTTTACCTAAATGTGAGTCACAGATCATCGAATTTTCTAAGTTAAACATACACTTTACGCAGAATAATAGTCCTTTATCGAAAAGAAAGGAAATTTTTCTATCCCAGTATTCTATTGCTGGATAAAAGGTACCCTATGTTCTTTTCTGTATCCCGTACAATGTGTTTACAAAATTTCATGATAATCGGTTGAGGAGTTAAGGCGTGAAATGGTAATAAACAAACAAATAAACTCTTATTCATAATAAACTACCAGACGCGGATCGCGATTTCGATCTTTTTGGATCTCATCAGCGCGTCGCAGGCAACTCCAACAGAACACATACCAACTTTTACCTGCTGTCTTAACAGTGCGTTTTAGAAAATACTACAAATGGCGCAGTAAACGCCATCTGTAGCACGATGCTACATTTTAGCTACAGATGGCGTTTACTGCACCATTTACAGTATTTTTTTATTCATCATATTATAATATTAGTTAGGATGTGAGTTAATTAAATGAAGATGCTTCAAAGTTCCTTTACCAGGAACGAGCAACAGCAATACCAATAACTAATTTAGTTTTGGTCTAGGCCTTACTCTTTCGAGATCGATTTCAGTTTCAAAAAACTAAAATTATCNAACTATTTCGATTTATAAGGTAGAATTTAATTAACGTCTCTTGACGTTGTTTCCGGCAAGACGTAGAAATGACACATGTTGTGGTAAAAGTGAAGAAACTTCTACTAATTTTAGGAAGACAATTTTCACGCCATATTCCCATTATAACGCCTTCAATTATCCAAACAAAGGCGATTTAGTTAATTGACCGGATAGAGTGCCCGCATAGTTTTCCATTTCAGCAAAGTATTACAGTTGCGAAATATATAAATTACGTTTGACTTTCTTTGTTATAAACTAAGTATTTTTTAATAGATCTTAGTTAAAGAATTTCCTGCTTTCGAGGATTGAAATATATTCGGTAACGAAATTTTATATCACAAATAAATAAATACTGACACCGTTTCGTAGATTCTTCGATACTCTTCTGTATTTCAAAAAGAAAAATCTTTATATTTTTCGTTTTTGTAGCCTAATACGGCATGAGGTACCGGGATTTTAGCCTGTAGGTCCCAGGATACCGTCCTCAGGAATCCGAGACTACCCTGTCGTAAGGACGTCTTTTAGAGATTTCCTCTCTTTCGCGAAAACAAAAAAATATATATACTTTGAGATGGTGTGAGGGCTTTTATCAGAAATGTTCTAAATTGATTACTACATCAAAAGCACATACGAAACTTTAGAAAATTAATTAACTATTATCCCAAAGAAACACTTACTCCTTGCTTGTCTTTTATTTGCATTCGAAACAACGTTTTCATGACTGAGTTTGTATTTCCACCGTTGCCTATTTTTGGTAATGTCTTTGCTACTGCTGCTCGATCCCCAAAACACGTAAATTACGACGATGAAAGTAAAAAGGGATTTAAAGGACCGCTTCATCATCACTTTCACATTTATTCAAATAAGTTTAATATATAACAAACAAGGCAGTAAAAGCACTACGTTTGAAATTTAAATTTAATACCCTTGATGAAAACGTGTTGGAAATATTCACGAAACAGAAAGCTGCGGTAGCAGACACGTGTTTATAAAACTTTATTGTTACGGCTACAAGTTAGCGTAATTGTCCATAACATGAATGAAATGACAAACGTTTGTTTAATAACAATGAGAGTAAATTGGAAATGAAATTACGAAAGTATAATGGTAAAATTACCATTGTTTTCTAGGAAATTTCGGATAGTAAATTTAGTGTTACCTAAAATACACTTGTCATTTTTACTAAAATATTGTATTTATTACTCATTTGCAGTTTTGTGTAAGAACTAACACGTAGGTACTACCTTTTTGTGGTGTCAGGACACTTTACACCCGATGCATATTGTCCTCCTCGCACATTTCACCCCATGACTGTGAATAAATATATGTATATAAGATAAAAGTGTAAACTGAAGATTATAAAAGTAATTGGAAAATAAGATTATATGTAAAATAAGTAGGTAATTGTTCAGAATTGGGACTTCATACCAAAATCGCTTCAAAAATTTTTTCATCGATTTCTGATCATTTCTGAGCGTTGAAAGATTATATTTGAGGCAGGGGAGACACATTTTTTTTTATTACAGCATACAAAAAACATTTTCAATTTAGAAAAGGTATACCAACCTTGCGCACATCCACCCTGTTCACAAGTCGTTTATGTATTTTATGGCTTTACGAATAATGCTTATGTATTATAAGATTGTAGTTATATAACGGTATAACAGTTGGTAAAATGTCCCACTTCAATTTGTAACATGTCTCAGGAGGCCAAAAAAAGTCACGCTTCCGCCCTTAAAAATATTTTACAACCGCCATCTTCATGAAAGTTGCCATTTTGTCAGATCCCAATAGAGTTCCTGTTTCTCGAAGACCACTTGTTTCAATCGCCGCTTTAAGAAATATTGTGAATTTTTGCTTTTTATGTTTATTACGGTATAACCTTGATATATATATAAGTATATGAAAGTTGACTGGCAGTTTAGCATTAAGAAATTTCTAGGATAAAGAAGTCGTGTGAAATTCCACCAAATGTGCTGTACAATTTTGTGCTACGTCGCAGTGGCACAAGAGAAAAAATGATTATCGAATAGCTATTACGTGACTGAAGCTGGTAGCGGCTTATCAGACTTTCTTGAGATCCCTTTCTATCCCATTAGAGATTAGACCCTTCGATAAAATCAATGAGAGATCGTTTTTCTATTACAGGCGGGAAGCGGCATGGTTATCAAAAGAACTATTACGGCTCTGGTATAGAGTTAAATTTCATTTTAAAATTAGAAATAGTTTCGCGAGGATGAAGCCATGAGTAAAGGCTAGTACTTACATAAGTATACGTATAGGTAATAAACTAAGTCTTTTTAAACCAAAATATTAAAATCATCAGTTTAATTCAAATTTGTCGTGTGGTACAAGGATTTTTAGTAGATTTAATTCTGGCTAGTTTTTAAGTTTTTATTTATCTAAATACGTGTCAAAGATCATCGACGACCACACAAAGCGAATTTTTCTGTCTCAGGAACAATATTTTTTCTGGATAAAAGATACCCTGTATCCTTTTCGGCACTTCAATTTCGTAAATTAATCATGATTTTATTTCAAAAAGAAAAAATAAAGTCGTGGTTTTAATCAACTGATTTAAATCATGTCTTGAGATTAATGCAGAAATGAAGGCATGTAAGTATATCGTATATTCAAGATTATAAATAATTCTTGTAGCAGTTTATTACGTAACTATTTCGATTTATAAGGTAGAATTTAATTAACGTCTCTTGACGTTGTTTCCGGCAAGACGTAGAAATGACACATGTTGTGGTAAAAGTGAAGAAACTTCTACTAATTTTAGGAAGACAATTTTCACGCCATATTCCCATTATAACGCCTTCAATTATCCAAACAAAGGCGATTTAGTTAATTGACCGGATAGAGTGCCCGCATAGTTTTCCATTTCAGCAAAGTATTACAGTTGCGAAATATATAAATTACGTTTGACTTTCTTTGTTATAAACTAAGTATTTTTTAATAGATCTTAGTTAAAGAATTTCCTGCTTTCGAGGATTGAAATATATTCGGTAACGAAATTTTATATCACAAATAAATAAATACTGACACCGTTTCGTAGATTCTTCGATACTCTTCTGTATTTCAAAAAGAAAAATCTTTATATTTTTCGTTTTTGTAGCCTAATACGGCATGAGGTACCGGGATTTTAGCCTGTAGGTCCCAGGATACCGTCCTCAGGAATCCGAGACTACCCTGTCGTAAGGACGTCTTTTAGAGATTTCCTCTCTTTCGCGAAAACAAAAAAATATATATACTTTGAGATGGTGTGAGGGCTTTTATCAGAAATGTTCTAAATTGATTACTACAAAAATTAAAATTGATCAAGAAAAGATAAAATGGAAAACTTTTATACTTTTATATTCCTTAAAATATTAAATTGTTGCACAATATTTAAACTTCATAAACTCGTTTCTGATTTAATTTTATTTCTTTAACTTAAAACATTTCTGGGATCTCAAAATCATTATCGAGCTTTTTTTAAAGATAAAGACCTCATCGTTTTATTGGATATTGTTTTATCTAAACAATAAAATTGTGTTTATTACTTAAATAATTGATGTTTTTATCAAACTATAGACTAAATTTCATATTTAGTTTTATGTCTAAAAATGTAAATTTGCATATACAGAACATTTTCCATTTCTAGCAATCTTTTTCTCATAAATATTGTAATTTATTTCTTTCTTTCAATACATACATATTTTGTATCAACGTTCCAACATTTACATGGGCCTTTATCTATTCGTCATCATCCTAATGTCTTTTTTATCGTCATATAATTCGGTCACCCTGATGTATCTTGCTCGAGAAACACGCTACGGTATTAAGGCCTAACGCGCACCGCGATTTTCTGTCGCTGCGACCAAGTCGTCACGATCGCAAAAAATAGAAATCAAACAATCGCAGTTTCCAGTCAATTATTACATAAACATTACAGAAAAAAAAACACGTATAAGCGAAAGAAACAACATACGTATATACAAATTTATCTTATTTACAATAGTTATCGTTTACAGCAGGTTTTTTTTTTTAATTTCGGATATAATTGCTTCCGTGTCCAAAACGGTATGACATTTCTTCTTGTTCTTCCGTACAAGAAGAAAATTAATGTGACATGTTTAATTATAATATATTCAACTACAAATGACAATCGAATAAACTCATGATTATCAGTGAATTGCCATATGATCCATTATATACATCCACGACAATAGCGTCTCAAGAAAAATAGATCCAGTTGCGTCTTTTTAATGGCATAATTATCGCTTTTACTATCCTGTATTTCGCGCGACAAAATACCGCAGTGCGCACTATTCCTTATAAGTTTGTGTACATTAACGTTATTTTCCTTAAGGTATCATGAATTAGGCAACGTTTTATTTTAATAAAACTCTGACTTCTGTTTTTGGTGATATTTGCATTTATCTATCCATTTTATGCTATTTTAAATGCTGTAACATTTTTCTTATATTTCTGTTTTTAAAAAATAAAAAGAATGTGCAGTATTGATGACGTCTAAAAACAATATAAAACATTGTATTTATTACTCATTTGCAGTTTTGTGTAAGAACTAACACGTAGGTACTACCTTTTTGTGGTGTCAGGACACTTTACACCCGATGCATATTGTCCTCCTCGCACATTTCACCCCATGACTGTGAATAAATATATGTATATAAGATAAAAGTGTAAACTGAAGATTATAAAAGTAATTGGAAAATAAGATTATATGTAAAATAAGTAGGTAATTGTTCAGAATTGGGACTTCATACCAAAATCGCTTCAAAAATTTTTTCATCGATTTCTGATCATTTCTGAGCGTTGAAAGATTATATTTGAGGCAGGGGAGACACATTTTTTTTTATTACAGCATACAAAAAACATTTTCAATTTAGAAAAGGTATACCAACCTTGCGCACATCCACCCTGTTCACAAGTCGTTTATGTATTTTATGGCTTTACGAATAATGCTTATGTATTATAAGATTGTAGTTATATAACGGTATAACAGTTGGTAAAATGTCCCACTTCAATTTGTAACATGTCTCAGGAGGCCAAAAAAAGTCACGCTTCCGCCCTTAAAAATATTTTACAACCGNTCAATTTATTATTTTTATCGATGGATAATAATGTGCTGTTGTAGTTTATACTAAAATACCAATTTTATGTATTGCAATGGTTTATTTTGATTTTATTATCTTCTATTTCAAATAAGTAAAGGTTGCAATTTCAATATGTATTTATCAGTAGCGGAACTGGAATTTCTGTCACTCGGAGCGAATTCCAAATTTTCCCCAATTTTTATTTTCACAATTATAAGACCTTTAATTTAAATTAGTCTGGAGTGCAGATATACATAAAAACATTTTTGATTTGTGGAAATAACTACCACGTATTATTTAGTGTAAATTAAAAATGTATGGGTTTATTTATATGCATTGACTTTTACTTAAGAATTAATAGTTTTACGATCAATACAATTTGCCTACAGGGGTGCAATATGTGGGGTCCAGTCTTGTACTCTGGCACTGAATGAAAGTTATGAATTTTCCTTTAAATCATATTGTGGTGAAATTGCAAAAAATATTGAAGTCTACTGTTTTGGTTTTTCGGAAATGTTACAAAACATTGGCATTTATTCGGACTGTAAACTTAATTTTCAGTAGTTACTTGATCCTGGGTAAAATAAATTTTGCGCCTTTTTCCATATGACACAAAATTTGTAATTTTTGTTTAAAATACGCAGTATAATGTTTAAATGGAGAGGTGACGACGAAACTCTTTTTTGGTCTCAACAGCATCTCGAAGATTTTTCCCGCTTTTCACGGGTGTGTGTACACCTCAAAATCAGCCGCCAAAACGTTAATTACAATACTACAATTAATTTTTTTTTTGTGATGTAACTACAAATTTACGGATTTTCCCTTTAATTATGCATTGCTTCTTGGAAAATTTTATGATTCTGGGTCAACAGGCTAGGTTTAATTCCCTTGTAAGTGTTTACATACCTCAGTATTTAATATTAATTATCAATTTGATACTACCATGTGTTCTTAAGAAACAGAGTTTTGACAGATAGATAGATAGACGGACAACGAAATAATCGTAAAGAGTCCCTTTTTTCCTTTTTGTGGTTCGGAACCCTAAAAAAAATACTTTTCTGACAAACTTTAACATTTGAAACTAAGATAGACAATGTATATATTTAACAAAGAAGTATGCAAAGAAAGAAAAAGTAAAGAGTGAGCGAAAGTAAAGAAAGGAGACGAAAAATTAGAAAAACTAGCTAATTTTAGGTATCTAGGGAGTCACATAAGTCACGACGGAAGGAGTAGTGGGGATATAAAGCAGAAGATAGCTTAGGGTAGAGTCGCCTTCAATAAAAAGAAGTCACTTCTGTGCTCGCGAACGGTTAATTTAGAAATTCGAAAAAGATTGTCAAAGGTGTATGTTTGGATCGCGGCGTTGTACGGGTGTGAAACATGGACGGTGGGCGCTTTTGAAAAGAAAAGGTTAGAAGCGTTCGAAATGTGGTGTTACAGGCGAATGATGAGGAAATCGTGGATAGAGAAGATTAGATATGAAGAGGTGTTAGAAAGAATATGAGAACAGAGGACTACATGGAAGTCAATAAGAAATAGGCGAGATAGGTTGGTTAGGTTAGAGGCAGAAACGGGAGTTAGGAGGGTTAGAGGCAGACCAAGATTATATTACTGTTCGCAAATGGTTAAGGATGTGGGTTGTTCCAGTTTAAGGGAAATGCGAAGATTAGCTCAGGATAGGAAGGAGTGGAGAAGCGTGTTCAAGCAGTCTTTGGATTGATGACCTTATGATGATGATATATTGTTAACAGTAATCCTTATTTCAAATTATGTTATGTTCTTCTCAGTAGATTGATATAAGGGTACAATCATTAGCATAGGGTACGAAATGAAGACTCATTATTGATAAATTACTATCTTAAGGGTAAAAGAGGAAATATACACAGTAGCAGTAATATAAGAAACCCGGCAGGGGTCATTTTGATAGAAAATGAAGAAAAGGCAGACAAGTGGAAAAAATACTTAGAGAACCTACACACAGGTCATGAGTTAAGAGATATATTAGAGAAGGATGATAGTGTGGAGATAGGTTATCTAGGTTATCCCATAATGAGAGAAGTTTGATGTAGCATTTAAAGCTCAAAAGCTCTCCGCAATTTAAAAAATAATAAGGGGTCACGTATAGGTAGGCTACAGGCGGAAATTCTAAATCATGCCGTACAAGATATTAGAGATCGTATGTTTAGGCTAGTTAGTCACTTTTACGAGACGGGGAAATTCCCTCCTAGAAACTATAATCGTACAGGGAAGAAAAAGGACAGAAGGACTAGGGGAAGACAAATTTGAATTTAGAAGAAATAGGGGATCGCGGGAGGAAATTTTAGTTTGACGGAAAAGAATACAGAAAACGATAAAAAAAGGAAAGTGTGCGTATATAGTATTCGTTGACTTAGAAGAAACTTTTGACAATGCTAAATGGGACAAGATGTTAAATATACTTTAAAAGTACGGATGGGATACAAAGATAGAGGAGTGATATATATATAGTTTGTATAAAAAATGAGGCATATTTTGCTTTGGATGAAATTTGTGAAAAATGAGAGTATTTTCTGTCTTTAGCAGCATTATTAAACCTAATATATTTTATAGAAATTGAATCGATGAAGCTTTCAAGTAATGTAACTTCATATTTAAAAATAAAATAAAAACACTTGGAGTTTACAAATAATTTATTACAACCACTATAATTATTTGGACATACTGTACTTTCTTCAGGTGGTGAAGATATCTTCACTTCAATTATTTGTAAACTACAAGTGTTTTTATTTTATATTTTGTACTACTGAAAGGAATGTGTTAATTATGATATCAGTTCATTATTAGTATACAAAAGTGTTAAAATATACTGGTGCACTTTTCGAGTGTAAAAATAATATAAGACCTCGTGTTTTATTCGGAGATTACATCTTACATTAATAAAATTATCATATGGAGCTATAAATTTTACGCATTTTATCTTTAAAACGACGCCTCGTCCCCATTTTAAAATTTTGCAATTGTACTTACTGTTTTATTTATTTAATAGTGTGGTTAATTCGTTTTTATTCTTTATTTCAACAGGTTGAAGATAAATGAGACTGGATATTGATGCTATTGAAAAAACAACCTGTTATTCAAAATTGTTTTCTGGCTGTAACTTTTGTCCCTCGACGATCTTCTAGTTAATTAAGGTGAGCATACATACTATAATATAAAAATGTATAGTGCATTTAGTTTGGCAGAGAACATGGTTTAGCATTGGTTTAACATTTCTTACTAGGGATGCTAATTAGTTATATTGAATACCCATTCAGAAGACTTTTTTTTACAGGAACATTTTAAAAACTGTGGATACCAACACCTGATTATGGATCATTGATTGTATCAGTCCTCTTTCACTTCAAAAAAAGCAGTATTTAAATATTTACGTGAAAGGACGGTTTTTCCATTGGGAAGAGAGACAGTGTGTTGTGGCTAAAGGTAAATATTAATTGTTAATAGTATATGAGATTCCATCAAATTGAATATCTTAGGCATTTCTCTTTCAACAGCCAGGTTTTTAAACACCATTTTAAAACAGTAGAGTTAGTGTTGAAGTATGGCCTTTACAGAAGTGTGAAAGTTGGCATTTTTTTTTTTAAATTTGCCTTTATAAATGGTGACAGAAACTTTGCATACTTTTTAACTTTAATATAAGAATTAAGGCTAAAGAAAAAGGAGGATTTTCTGTATAACAGATGTTTACTTGACTTATTAATGAATTGTGCATTGTGCATTTATTATTTTACTAGTCACTTGCATGTAATTTTACCATCACATTACCACGTTATTAATTTACTTTCTGTAAAAGAGGTAATTCATTACCTTTTCTTGTTTTCTATAGATCGTATAACGAATGAGAGGATATTGCAATTAATTTTGGTGCTACTGAAACAACTGATGCTTTTGACGTCTTCACCTTGCAAAATTATGCAGTTAATTTTGGACCTGAGAGGGGAGGTTCCCCAAGAAAAACGAGCGTTAGGTATGTAAATTTTCAACATAACACTATTTGTTTTGCTTATTAGAGAATGGTACATTGTGTATCTATTATTTTACCAATCGTCTGTTTCTAGCTTTACCACCTCATTACCACTTTAAAATATTACCGATTTGCTTCCTTTAAATGTGGTAATTAATTACTTTGCCTTGCCCTTTTCTATAGGTTGTCCGAAGAATTAGATGGAATTGCAATTAACTGTGATGTTTTTGGACTTGAAAAAGGAAACCAACTGCAAATCAATTTGGACGCCACTGAAACAACAAATTGTCTGCAGTGATATCCCTTTTGGATTTGGTTTGCTCATCACACTTGTGGACTTTAGAACGCTACTTTCTACAGTTAATTAAGGTGAGAATGTATGACATTATTAATATTAATTTTTGGTTATTAATATGTTGCCACCCTATTTGTTTCAGGTCGACGGTGGAGAAGACAAAGAAGACTCCCGTAGTTAAAATAGTTCTTTATATTGCATGCTTTGTGTAGTAGAATTCATCAAGTTCATTTTATTCAAGTTAGTTTTTTATTTTGCATGTTTTTTTTCTCGTAGTTTATTTTATCTCAATTCGTTTTTAATTTGCATGCTTATTTTTGTTCTTTTTGTTTGAAGTAATTGTTGATTGTAGATTTTTTTATTTTTTTTTTGTTTAGTAGTTGTAGTGTAGTCTAACATATTCTTGCTTACCTCTTTGCTTAGCTTACTGCATATTCTTACTAAATGCTTTGCATTTACCCTACGCCTTGATGAAAGCGAATAGTGCAATTACAAGGACTAACGACAAATACTAATAGCTTTGGTAGAGAAGATCGGACAGATTTCGCCAAGGCAAGCTGGGCAGTCGCCTATTGCTCCTATTCCAGATAACCCACTGTACCCTGTCTGAAAGGAAGTAACGCTAGAGTAGACTCGCGAAAAGTGTATAAGACACTTTTAAGATCAACTAAATAGCTAAGCCCAAGGGAAGTCGTTCGGGGAGGCCCTCC